TAGATTATTTTTTGCACCTGTATTATTTAAGAATGTTATTATGTACCTATTATATTGATAAGTCATACATTAATAATGATCAATGTAATTTTGGCTATGGAAGAATGATATTGTCAAATGCACTTTCTGGTACTTTTCCTTTTCTGTAAACAACAGCCTTTGGATGTAAGCTGCATGACACTTTGCCTGTAGGCTACTGTCTTTACAAGCTATTTAGTTATATGACTCAACTGATTCAGCTGTTGCTAATGGCTACTATTCGGTCTTGCTTCAAGCCTTGTAAAAAAAATATACTGTATTACATCATATTGCTATTGTTAGTATCCTAAAGAAATTATTTGTAAAGACACCTATGAAATATACAAAATTAGCTATATAGGAAACTGGCTATATGGAAAATACGCAATTATTTACAACACTCTTTCTCAAGTTGAAGCATATTTTCAAGAATAATGTGTTGTGTTTATTATTGAATGGTGTAAACCTGTATATAAGTTTTTTAGAGTAAGAAAGAAAACCGACAATTAATTGTATATGATGTGTTTTACCACAATGCTCTTTTACCTAATATATAAATTATATTCTTCAACACTCCTCAAACTGGGGAATGGATATTATCTATCCCCAGTTTGGCAATGATTGTCCCGAATACTAAGCTATTCAAGATGTTGGTTAATATGTCTGCAAGTTGTGAATTGGTGGGCATGTATGATCTAAATATCAGGCCGCTATTTAGTTTATCTTTACTGAAATGTTTATCAACCTCAATGTGTTTTGTATTGTTGTACTAGGTTATGAGCGATGTTTATAATTGACTTGTTGTCATAATAAAGATGCATGAGGCTACCTCATTTGATTATTAGATCTTCTAAGATCCTCTTAAACCATATTAGCTTACGTACCCCTTAAGTCATTGCTCAAAATTCTGACTCCACATTCAACCTCACAGCTACATTATGCTTTTTTCTCCTCGAATTGACCAAGTTACCCTAAGGAAGGTACAGTAAATTATGGTAGATCTTCTACCCACCATTGGCCCTGCATAATTTGCGTCAGTATAGGTTTGAAGTTGTAACCTATCGTTCTTTTTAAACATGATACCTTTTCCGAGTGTCACCTTCAAGTAAAACAACACTTTGTAGGCTGCCTATAAGTGCACATTTTTATGGTTGTGCATGAACTGGTTTATCACACTTACTGCGTAGGCAATGACCAATCTTGTGTGTAACAGGTATATCAATCTTCCAAGGAGTCTCTGATACATCCCCTTATCTACCTCTATATCCTCTTCTGCTAGTTCTAATTTGTGGTAAGGATCAATAGGAGTGTTGGCTAGTTTACATGCTAGCTTACCAGTATTCTTTTGCAGGTCATTGATGTATTTACTGTGATACGAAGATTCCTATGTTGAGTGAGCAATTTCAATTCTAAGGAAACAATTTAGCTTTCCTAATTCCTTAATCTCCAACTCTTTGGCCAGATATTGTTTCATAATCATATTTTCTTTTTCATTTTCAGTGTCACAATAATATAATCAATATACATTAGAAGAAGTGTAACTCCCCCTAGATCTAAGTGTTTGATAAATAGGGTATAGTCTCCTGACGTTGCTTATATCCCAAGCCTAACATTACCTTTGCAAATCTACTAAACCTTGCTCTGGATGATTGTTTGAGCTTGTAAAGTGCCTTCTTCAAATTACACACTTTATTTGTTCCTACCTTTTTGGTAAATTCTGGTGGAATTTCCATATAAGTTTCTTCGTAAAGATATCCGTGCGGAAAAGTATTTTTTTAACATCAAATTGTTGCGGTTTCCAGTTAAAGTGGCAGCTTGAGACAACAAGACTTGTACCATATACATCTTAGTGACTAGTGTGAATGTCTCTTGATAATTTATCTAGTAGGTTGATATATAGCCTTCGATCACGAGCCTTGCTTTGTGCCTCTGTATTATTCCTTCAACCTTGTATTTTATTGTAAACACTCACTTTTATCCCACATGTTTCTTTCGTTTGGGTAAGTCTACCACTTCCCATGTCTGTTTTGTTTTTTTTTTCAGTGCCTACATTTCAAAATTCATGATATTTTTCTATTTCTCACAGAAAAATATCTCAGATAAAGTGTTAGGAATATATCTAGCATTCAAACTTGTAAAAAAAATTCTTATAAGACTAACATTTATCAAAAACACAAACTGTGAGGTGGGATAAAAGGAGTGCTTAGTGCATTCTCTGGTTTCTTTATGGATGGCAATTGACATATTAATATTAGGCTATATAGGGTTTTCAGGACTTACATTTGTTACAGAACTTATTTTCTGATGTTTGAACATGCTTCAGCTCAGGATTCGGATTCTTACTTTTTGAGTACACGTGATTAAATGGCTGGCCATCATGTTATTTTCAACAGTCTTTCCCAAGTAGAAGCATACACAAATAGGAAGTTCAAATAAAGAAAGACACCTTGTAACTTGACGTCTGATGAGTTCCACAAATCACTATCTATTACAAGCTCAATCAACAATAAACCTTGTCAATACCTCAATCCATCAACTATGAGGTCGACTAAGTATAGGCTTCTAGTTGAATAACAACTGCAAATTTCAGAAAACAACTTTTTACCAAGTTCAATGAATACCAAGCAAATTATCACAAACTCTTTATAATTTTATCAAGGTAACTTGCACTTTCTTCTCCCTGAGAGACAAGTTCATAAGGTTTTAGAACTTTTCTGGAACTAACATCCACTCCTATAAGTACAAGCGCTAAACCATTGCAACTGGTACAACTAGTACTCACTTCTCTTTTATCTTAAAAAAAAAAAAACAGTCCTCACTTCTCTTGAGCAACAAACTTCAAGCTTTCATAACTTGTCACCTATTTTTAGGGACACTAGCTCTAACATATGAAACTACTCGATATCAATATATAGAATGCACTTTTGACAGAACTAACCTTGAAACAGGAAGTGCATGTAAAAACAAAAACCTAAAGGAACCAGTTTGAATAGCCTGAAAAATGATCTGGAAAGGCCCTGAACCAGTCAAAGTGGGCTGAATTAGTAAACGTCACTGACAGAAAACTACTAACATGTGGGTCTTCATGCGTGCGTTTTATGCATTATCTTTCAGTTATTAGTATGGTTGATTGTACATAGTAGAGCTGTCTCATGTTTATAGTTTGAGACCCTAGTAGGTAGAGATCTGGGATGGTAGTGGTAATGTGGCATCTTGACAAGCTTTTGTGATAGTTTTTGGTGGATAAGAGTAGTTGAACATCTGGTGAAGTTGATGGTTGCTATTCTCAATTTTTTGTGGCTTCAGTTTCTGATTTTTTTAAAAAAATATCTTATGGCTGTTCTTTTGTCCATTTGTTTTAAAGAAAGGAAATAAAACATTATAGAAGATAGAAGGAGATGACAACATAAAGAACTGACATTGATTTTGATACGAAAGGGAAAAGATTGAATTAAAAGTAGGACATTAGTTAAAAAGAGATGAGATAAAACTAAAATTGAAAAGAACCTGAAATAGGACAATAACTGATTTGAGGAAACAAGAAGAATAAATTTTAATGAAAATTAAGTGCAAAACTTGCAGGATGGAGCGAACAATTTAAAAAGATGCAAAAGCTTCTTTTCCCCTTTTAGGTGGTGAATGGAAATGGGTGGTAGTTGCTAAGCTCCAGGACCTATTGTTTTGATATCATCAAGGAGAATAGACTGAAATAGTATTATCATATTAGTCTTATTATTATGCTGAAGAAAGAGACATGGCACTGAGAGATGTATGAGAAGAATTGGAAAATTAAGAATATGAAAATTATTATATAGGAAATTAGTTATAAGGGAAAAGGTTATATGGAAAATAACCAATTATTTTCTATATCCTCCATTTAGCTTGTTATCTTGGATTCAATGTATCATGATGCTGGTTAATCATTTATCTTAGCATTGGATTCTAAGCTTTCCTCTTCAGTTGTTTTACAATTAATCCTAATAAGATGTTTGAATTAGTACATATACCAAACACTATGATGAGTTTCTTTGAAAAACCTTATTAAGTTGTGACAAGCAACTACCACAACTTCTCTTAGTTTTTGTTTTTCTCCTATATATATCTCAGAAAAGTGCGATGGTTCAGTAGAAAATTGAGCTTCAGGTTATCAACATCAGAGATGCCAGCTTATAACTAATAAACAAATGATGTTTTGGTTGAACTGAATGTTACTTTTTTGATAATTAGGTTCACAGCTAGTTGATTTGGTAATGGCTCTTCAAAAGGTGGGAAAAAAAGTCTAGGGTTTGAACCAACTATGCCATATTCTGTACGATTAAGTACCATATTATATGCATGGTGTAGTCAGTTTAATCCTCTTTGATCCTGAAAAGCTTTGGGTTCGCACATGCACACACACATGCACATGATAATCCTCTGACTACACATTGACTCTATTGCTACAATCATTCAAAAAACGAAAGAGAAAAATACTTGCAGAATATTTTTCTGTCAATATTTAAGTTCAATATTTTTCTTTCAATATACGGCTTTAAATCATTAGATCTTTTCCATTTCTTTTTATCATATCTGATGAATTAAGTATATCTACAGGAGTTATTACAAATGCACTAGTGCTGGATGCAGTGTTCGCAAGCATGTTGAGAGAGCTTCAACGGACCCAAAAGCTGTCATAACTACGTATGAGGGAAAACATAATCATGATGTCCCCGCTGCCAGGAATAGCAGCCACAACACAGTGAGCAACAATGCATCACAGTTAAAACCACAGCAAGCAGTTGCTGGGAAGTATCCTTTACTTAGGGACATGGACTTTGGAAGCAGTGACAAAAGACCAGTGCTTCTTCAGCTAAAGGAAGAGAAGATCACAGTGTAAGATGCTAGTATGAAATCTGTTAAATAGCTAAGAAGTCAGCAGCTGATTCAAGCCAACTAACAGTATTCTTAAATCAAGAATTATAAAGCAAAGAGACACCATCATAGAGGTGTAAGATAATCGCCCCATGGATGCTGATTGAGTAGTTGATTGACAATGTGAGCCGCACTTATCTTCTTGTCTGGCGTGTATTTGTATTCATAAGTATCCGTGTATATGCTAAGTTCTCTCACCAAAGAGGGGCTGGAAGTTGTTTGCTCTAGTTTCAATCTTATCTGGGTCCTCTTCGTTTGTCTTATACGTTCTGTTTCACGACCTGCAAGTTCAGTAGAATAGCAATAGAATAACCGTACCAACAGAATTGGGGCAACACATGGTTTTCTATTGTGTGTTCGCTGACAAATTTGTCAGAGATATAACAATGTATTACTATTTGTCTCTATATTCCATACATGTTCATTGTTATGTTTGTTTTGATTGAAAAAATAAATAAAAATAAAAATTTATCATGTTTCTGTTCACATTTTGGGTTGGCCAAAGTCTGAAGCTTTCTTTCAGAGAGAGTTTCTTCTACCTCCTGTATTGAAGAGAACAGAGGTAAACAGAGCTCTGCTGAAATCTGCAATTGCATGCTTGTAGTTTATTAGAAAAAACTGGTATTTCCTTTTGTTCCCCTGTTAGAATGATGAGTGGTTTCATACAATTCAACTAACCTAATGATTAGGATCGTTAATGCTACGGAAATTAGTAAACCTTTTTAGAAATTTTTTTTCCCAAATATTTAGCAAACCCAGATAAGATTTTCTGTCAAATGGAATTCCTATTGTCATACTAGTCAAAATTTAACGCTAGTATGAGTTTCCTCCAATTCGACTTTATCCAGAACTAGTTCCGGTCAAGAGACAACTTATGGTTGTTGGAAAAAGAAATTCTTTTTTGCAAGAAAAGATATTAAGAGCTGGATGTTCTTTGGTTTGACCAGCCATAACAAGCAAATTGATAGATGTTTGACATGCTTGACAAAAATACCTGAAGATCGAAGTCGTCAACAGTTTCCTAAAACCATCTGTAGACAAAAGGGTAGAGCAGCAGAATATGGGATAAGAACCTGAAGTGGGAACAGTTAGGGACAGCTGGCGTTTTCTGCAAGCAGAGTCGTCTATTATTTCCCTCCATTTCTCTAAAATAGGAAAGAAGACAACAAAAAGAAACCAACGTGGAAAATGATATAATACAAGTATCCTAACGGTCACATTTCACCTTTTCCTCTTTTGCCAAAAAAAAGATGAAGGGCCAAATTGGACCCACAAATCTCTCCATCTCCTCCTCTCTTCCTTTGGTTTCGGGAATGTCTTCTGTCCTCCGCAGATCTCGCAAACAGCAAAGCGCAGATGACATCCTCCTCCTCCTAAACAACTCTGTTCTTTTCCATGGTTTAACCGCCATTTTCTTCTTTCTTTCCCCCCCTTTTTTTCTTGCCTCCCATTTGGCCTGATGTGGGGATTGATTCCCCATATTGGACCCATTTCCGGATCTGGGTCGGTCTCAGCTCCGGGAAATCGTTAATGGGTTGCATCAATTCCAAGAATGCCACTTCTGTGGTGGCTGCCTCCCCTGTTCCTAACAGAAGCAAATCGTCTGGTCTCGTACGGGGTTTCTCCACCAAGGATTCATCTTCCCATGCCAATTCCAAATCTTTTCAGCACAGGGACGACGATTTTACGTCGAGAGACAGCCATACCCACAGTCAGGCTCATACCCAGCGAAGCGGTAGCCGCCGCTTTGGGAAATCCAAGAAGGGGACCTCCAACAATGGCAGGAGTGGCGTTAGTTTAAAACTTGCCTTGTCTCATGGGAATGTGGCAGCCGAGCAGATTGCAGCCGGTTGGCCCGCGTGGCTTAGTGCCGCTGCCAGCGAGGCCGTTCATGGGTGGGTGCCTCTCCGTGCTGACGCATTTGAGAAATTGGAGAAGGTGGTTTTTTATGCCTATTTTTCTCATGTTTCATGAATCATTATCCATGTGTTTTTATGTCAGTTGATGTAATATATGTTTCCTAAACCTTTACATGCAAGAGAGAGAGACAGAGAGAGAACTGTTGGGTTAGTACCATTGTTAAAACATGATATTGTAAAGCCTGGAGGTATTTGCGATTGAATTAGATGAATGAAGAAGGTGTTGAACCGTATTTAAAAACCTCTCGAGGACTCTAATTTAATGCTTGTTATTTTGATCAGCTGAAGCAATGAAGGCGGATTGAGGCTTGAAATGTAATAGGTGAACGATTATTTGATTGATCAAATTCAATTTCCTCTCCCAAGAGATTGAAAGTTTATATCAAGTGGGTTTTCAAGCACGAAACTTTTCTTTTTTTTTTTCGATAATTGAAGAAGGTTACCCGAAATTTATCCTATCATATTACCTAATGAACTTTGAGGGTAGAAAATATACAATCTACACCTTAGCCATAAGCAAACTTCAAAGACAGAGCTTTGAATTGATCGTAGGCGTCATGCTGTGTGAGAAGTCGGTTCACGTTAGAAATCTCTCGAACGTGAGATTTAGGGCTTAAAATAATGAGAGAAACTATTCACATTGAGATGCCTGAGGACCTAAACATTATCAGCCTCGAAACGTAAGATAGGCAAGCCCTACTAATAGGATATATTGTTAGGACTAGCAGATACCAAAATAAAAAATACGGTATTTAGTGCTGGGAGACAAACAAACTGTGAGATTATGTAAGAGGTTTTGGTTTGAACTCAAACATAAATTCAACCTTAAGTTTCTTGATAGGATTTTAATGTTTGTGGATTGGTTGTTTTCTTTTCTAACTTTTGCTTTGTGCTACAATATATTGTTCTGTGATAAAAACTTGGTCACCTCCTTATTCCAGACTCTGACAAAAAGTTATTTAATTTCCTGCTTCTGTACAGATTGGGCAAGGTACATACAGCAGCGTGTTCCGGGCACGTGAAGTTGAAACTGGGAAGATGGTTGCCTTAAAGAAGGTGCGCTTCGACAATTTTCAGCCAGAGAGCATTAGATTTATGGCACGTGAAATATTGATTCTCCGCAGACTTGACCATCCAAATATCATGAAGTTGGAGGGGTTAATTACATCTCGATTATCAAACAGCATATATCTTGTATTTGAATATATGGAACATGATCTTGCTGGATTATCATCTTGCCCTGACATCAGGTTCACTGAGTCACAGGTATTTTAGTTTAACAAAAAAGGTTAATCTATGCGTTATCAAACTCTGGCATTATTTCCGGTTCTATAAGGTTAACCTATGATTCTTTCTCTCCCTTCATAGTAAGATTAAAAGCTGGTTTTTGCTGTATGTGTAGGTGAAGTGTTACATGAAGCAGCTACTTTGGGGACTGGAGCATTGTCATTTACGAGGTGTAGTGCATCGCGACATTAAGGCATCAAACATTTTGGTAAACAACCAAGGAATTTTGAAATTGGGAGATTTTGGATTGGCAAACATCGTCACCCCAAGGAACAAGAGTCAGCTAACTAGTCGTGTAGTGACTTTATGGTATCGAGCTCCTGAACTGCTTATGGGGTCAACAAACTATGGAGTAT